ACTCATAGCTACCAACCAGACAGGTACACCTACACCTGCTTCTTCTTTCTTCATTCTTTGACTTAATTTCCTTACTCAGGAAAACAACAACAACAACTTCTCGAAGGCATATTCTACAGGTGATCAGTCATTTTTAGTAGGATGTGGGATGGAGGCCCACAGAGAAGCAGAAGTTCTGGGTCTCTGTGTGTAGGCTGGGGGGTGGGGAGGGAAGGCGAGGGCAGGAGGGGGTTAGGCAGAGATTCAGAGACCCCCACGTCAGGAGCAAGCCCCCAGCAGCAGGGGTGGCCAGAGGGGTCAGGCACTGGGTGGGGGTGGTCAGGGCTTGGCCTTGGGGCCCTGGGCATCTTGGGCTTCATTTCTCGAGGGTCAGCTGAGAGCCAGGGACTTTCTAACCTACGTATGTTCATTTCTACTTTATCCGCGTTTTACAAATAAGGAGACTGAGGTTCAGACAATCAGGCGCCCTGGAGAAGGTCAGCTGCTTGCCCAGGGTCCTGTGCGCAGGGTCCTGCCTGGAGCCTCAGATGCCGCCAAGCCCAAATGGGCACACCCTGGGAGCTCCAGGGCCTCTGCTGTCCCTCGCTGCCACCCCAGGGAGCCGCAGGGAGCCAGGAGGCCTTTTATCTGGGGAGTGACAGGAGCAGTCTGGGTTCAGAGAGGTCGCCCTGCGTGCCGGGTGGGGCACAGCAAGCCAGCCTGGAGGCCAGAGAGATGGTGGGACCCAGTGGTGGCAGAGGCAGGGCTGGGCTGGGGAGGGACACTTGGGAGGTGGAGCAGACGGGCCAGGAGGGGTGACCTGGGTTGGGGTGTGGGGAGGGGGAGGCTGCAGAGGCTGCCTGGCTCTCTGGCTGGGGTCTCTGGCTCTGGGGGCCCGGGCAGAGGGGGAGGCCAGGCGAGGGCAGGGAGGTGATGTGCCTGGTGGCTGCTGAGTTGGCCACCTGTGGGTGACTGGCCTGATCATAAGCCCTCCTGGGTGGAGTCCACGTGCCTGCTCACCGGGGCCTGCACCGTGCCCAGCCCTGCCCTGCCAACGTGTCATTAGCACTGCTGATGTGGCCACGTGGAGTCTCAGGTGTCCCCAGACCCAGGGACAGAGTTGGGAATTCCTACGGGCCCACACTGCCCAGCAAGGCCAGGGCCTGGCTCGGGCTAGAGGTGGACTGGTAGACGGAGCCAGATCCACGGCCCTCACCCTTCCCGCCATTACAGAGTGGGCCCAGGCCACGGCCCTGGGGAACTGAGGGCACCTGCTTTTTCCTAGTCAGCCCCTGAGGCCCCTGGCCAACCCACCAGGAGGTCCAGGACCCAGCCTTGGGTGCCGAGGGCCCAGGGGTTGGCGGTTTACCCGGGGAGAATCCTGAGGGGTAGAAGCCGAGGACCTGGGCAGCCCACAGGTGCTGAGCTCTGTGGTCTGGAGCAGCGCCTGCGTGTGGGCACCTGGTCAGTGTTTGTTGAATGAATGAGCAAACGGACACTCTGGATGCAGACTCGGCTTCCTGAGCCTTCGCTGGGCCACCTTGGGCAGGCGACGCTCTTCTCTGGGCCGTGGTTTATCCAGACGAAAATAAAGGGTCTGGTCCAGGGATCGCTGGGGCCCTCCCAGCCTGAAGCTGGAGGACTGTCTGGGTCCCAGGAGTGGAGAATGGCCACAGGGCAAGAAGTCCAGAGGCCAGGGCTCTGCTGGTCCCCTACCCCTTTCCACACTGTCCTAGGTAAACGGAGGCACAGGCTGTGTGTGTGTGTGTGTGTGTGTGTGTGTGTTAGGTGGAGGCTTCTAGCCTCAAAGAGGCCACGGCTGGAGTCAGTCATGATGAACCACTCTGACTGGTCACGAGGCCTGAGGCGTCCGATTTCCATGCCCTGATGGTGCTGAGGCCTCCAACTCGGGATTTAAGGGCCAGGTTGGCTCCCAGCACCCACAGTCTTTAAGGGGTACCGACGTCTGGTTGGACCAGGCTGCGGCGCAGTCACCGCCCACCCGTGGTGCATCTCCTAACAGCTCCACGCTCCACCATCTGCCTGACCTTGGAAGGTCATTAGGCGACTCAGACCTCGCCCCACACCCCGATGGCGAGGAGGCTGAGATTGGAAGAGCCCTGGACGGCCAAGGCCTGGGCTCCGTGTCCTTTCTCGGGGAGGGCTCCTCTGCCACCCCCTGGCCCACTCGCAGCCTCCCTCCCACTGGACTTTGGTCCCTGGACGTCAGGGTCCCTAACCTGCTGGCTTATTTCCTGCTTTTCTTGCTACTCCGTGTGCCCCACGAGGGCAGGGCTCGGCCGGTGGCTTCACTCTTGTGTCTCCAGGGCCAAGAACAAAGGTGGGTGCTCAGACACTGCTGGGGGAGGGGACGAGGCCTGGGGTCACAGCCCAGCACCCAGCACCCAGCACCCCTGCCACTGCTTCCCGGGGTGGTCCCAGGGGTGTCCGGGGGTCATTCAGAGTTCCACAGTCACCGGGCAGCAGGCTGGCCTGTCCCCTGTGTGGAACAGGCCCTCCCAGGGGAAGGCCCCACGGCAGAGGGGAGGGGGCAGTGATGTCATAGGGCCCCCCACCCCCGCTCCTCCCCCTCTGACCCTCCAGCCTGGAATCCCGAGTTCAAACAGACCACAGAATGTGTGCACAGGACGTGTCTCTGCGGGCTGCGGGCAGGGCGGGGGCCTGGGCAGGTCACCGTGTCTCCAAGGAAATGTTCTCAGGGCAGGAGGAAAGAGGAAGGGCGGGGGAGGGGCGGGGGAGGGGCAGGTGGACGGGAGGCCACCAGGAGGAAGCTGGTGGACAAGGGAGCCTTTTTCCCCCCTCCAGAGTAAAAATGTTGAACAACCACTCAAACAACACCCGGAAACAGGGGACAGAGCACCTGACCTGGCTTCCCCAGGGACCTTGCCAACACCAGGCCACCGAGTGTCCAGACAGCCCGGGCGCAAACCCCCCGGGGACTCTTGACTCCCCTGTGAAGCCCACCCTCCGCTGGCCTCCCTGCCAAGCCCTCTGCCAGGAGCCCCCTGCCTTTCCCCTCCACCATAAGGACATTGCTTTGAAGGACGGTGACGGTCCTGGGCCCCTGCCCTGCCCGCCAGGCCTGTCTGTGCTGTGCTTCGTCTGGACTCGGGATTCCAGGCTTGATCGGTCCTTGTCACTGGCGTTGCGGTGAAGATCAGACGGTGCGTTCCTGGGAGGGCATGTTCATCCCTCCCTGTGCCCACCACCCGCCACCCACCTGTCACCCACCCGTCACTCACCCGTCTGTCTTCTCTAATGGGAACACACCGCGTGCTCTTAGATGCCCCTTTTATATCCCCGTCACCGTCCATATGAAATGGACACGTTTATGTGAATTAATGTCATTAAACAAAATGGTCCAGGTCTTGCTCCTTTGGGCTTGGGGAGGGCGGGGAAGAGCCGTCCCTGGAGATCTGATTTGCTGCTTTCCGTCTCCAGATGTTGGGGACTTTGGACGTAATGAGCTTTTGCAGATTGACAACATTTGCAATTCAGGTGTGTTGGCAGTAAGATCATTCCAGAAAGTCTTCAAGATCAAAAGTGACCCAGTAATTGCTAATGCACTTTCACACGTCCTGCCTCCCTAACCAGCCAGGGTCCTGGGGGTGGGGTCTGTGCGCCCCTGGAGCCCCTTCAGACTGGTGGCTCCCCTCCCTCTCCGTCTTTGCTGCCCCCACCAAGCTGTGGACGGGAGCCTTCTCGTTGGTGTGCCCTCCGTTCTCCAGGTCGCAGAGTGGCCAGCTGAAGTGAGTTAGAAACAGACATGCCACCGGCAAGTCCCCATCTCCATTCCGAGGTCTCAGGGGCCTCTCACAGAATGGCCACACGCCCTGCCCACCTTGCCCGCGCCCAGCCTGCCCCATCTTTGATGACGGCACCATCTTTCTGTTTGCTCAGGTCTCCTGACGCTCTTTCTCTCACGTCCACGTCCAAGCCATCTGCCTTCGAGGCTCACGATCCGACCACCTCTTACCACCTCTCACTGCTCCGCGGGGACCAAGGTGCCCCCTCTCTTGCCTGGAAGAGCCTCACAAGGCCGGCTCTGTCTGGCTTCACCCAGGGGGGTCAACAGACCCTTGCCAAGGAATGAATGAGATCCCTGCGGAACAGGCTCCAGCTCTGAGTCTCCTTTGTGTCCCAAGCTCAGAGGAGAGGGGTTTGCAGAAGAGAACCCCCACTCCCCAACCCAACACTGCTCCGAGCTCCTGCCAAGTCCCCAGCCCTCTGGCTGGCCAACGGTGTTCACGGGGCTGGCTCCTGCCATCTCTGAGTTTGGGGGTCGTATCGTGCAGGGATTCAGGCAGACCCGGGTGCGAATTATGGCTCTGCCACTTACTGGCACTGTGACCTGCAGGCAGGATGCTATTCCCTGTTGCACGGGGACCTCTGTGTCTTGGGCACTGTGCTAAACATCTCATTGGAAGCTCACGTCTTCTCACCAAACCAGTGGGACAGACCCCGTCCTCCTGGCTGCCCTCACACTGGAGGAAACTGAGCCACAAAGGTCCAAGAAGTCCAGGCCCATGGTCTCTGTGCCCATCATTGGTCGCCTGAGCTTGAATCTGCACGGGGGCATCTGCCCTGCTGTGCTTTATACGCCCCCTGCTCTCTGCGTGTGTGAGATCAATCTGCAACCCCCCGGGGTGGCTCCGGTGCAGAGTCAGTCCTCAGAAACGATGACGTCATTGTGTGTGGTTTCAGGCACCAGAAAACAGGGGTCGGGGCAAGGCTGGAGGGTGGGGGGTGACTCCAGAGCTCAGAGTCTCCTGTTGGCAGCTGAGTCAGATCCACCAAGGGACCCCACAGAAACCCCACTTTCCGTCTCTCAGAGAGGCCTCGGGTGCCTTGTCCCTGGTCCCCTTGATTGACAGCCTGTGAATGAGGAGGCTGGGCGGGGAGCCAGGAGGTGGGGACTGGGCTCAGGTCGGCTAACCAGGTCGCAGGGTGAAATTAAAAGGGAGGAGGAGAGGGCCAACCTGTCAGAACTCACACTCCTTCCTGGTGGCCAGGTGCCCAGGAGAGGAGCTGGGGAGCTGGGGTGCCTTGTGCCCGAGCTGATCTTGGAGGCTGCGAGCAAGGGACAGGATGGCCCCGCGGAGAGCGGTGAAGCTATCCCTGAAGAAGCCCACTTGCGCTGTGTGTGTGGCGGGAGTCGAGACGCTGGTGGACATCCACAGGTGAGAGCCGGCAGGTGCCCACCTGGCTGCAGAGGGCTGGGCTTGAATGGGGGGCCCCAAGGCAATGGGGTGGCTTCCTGGCAAATAAGCCGGGCCCGTTGGAGGGTGCGGGAGGCTGTTCTGACAGCAGGGAGGGCGGAGTTGGCTGCGCAGCCCGGGAGGAGGGCCAGGGTCTGGCTGTGTGCGGTCAGGCTTTGGCTCCTGGGCCCCTGGTCGGGACTCAGCTGCAAGCCCCAGGGCCAGGCTCCAGGGTCAGGGCTCAGGGCTCCGTGCTCTGGGGGAGGACGGACTCCCTGGGAACATCAGAGGGAATTGTTGCTCAAGCTGGAGAAGCAGGCGAGCTGGACCCCCCTGCCCTCCCTCAGTTTCTTGCCAACTCCTCTCCTGTCCTCAGTGAGGGGCGTGAGCGGCCGTTTGGTCCTTGGAGGCCAGCCAGGGGCGACGAGGTGACTGGGATCAGGAGGGAGTGGCTAGAAGACAATCAATGACTTAGTATAAGAAGCGTGAGCCTGGAGCACTGCCCGGGACCTGGGCTTGCCATGAGATGATGGTGGGAGTGATGGAGGATGGAGATGATGGCGGTAGAGGTGGTGATGATGGTGGGGGTGATGGAAATGGTGGAGACGGTGACAGTGGGGATGATGGTACTGGTGATAGTGGTGGGGATGGACCACAGTGGGATGGTGATGGTGGTGAAGGTGGTGATAGTGGGGATGGTGATGATGGTGGAGATGGTGATGGTGGGGATGATGGTGACAGTGGAGATGGTGATGATGGTGGTGATGATGGTGTTGGTGATAGTGGTGGTGGTGCTGGTGGTGGATGGTGATAGTGGTGATGGTGGAGATGGTAGAGATGGTGATGGTGGTGGAGATGGTAGAGACAGTGATGGTGGTGGGGATGGAGATGATGGTGGGCATGATGGTGGGGTTGATGGTGGGAACGATGGTGGCGATGATGGTGTCCATGGTGATGGTGGAGTGGTTATGGTGTCCGTGGTGATGATGGAGGCCATGATGACATCTGAGGGGAAAGTTGTAGCCTCAGCTTCTCCTACTAACCTAGATCCTCCCTGAGTGGTGAAACTGTCCCTGAAGAAGCCCCCTTACGCTGTGCGTCTGTGGCAGGAGTGGAGACACTGAGGGAGCTGGACCTGGTGCTCTCTGGGGGACTGTCAGACTCACTGTGGGCTCCATCCCTGCTGGGCTAGAGAGACTGGATCCTTGGCCTCTGGGGGTCCTGGATGAGAGTTCCCCTCTAGCAGGACTGGGGACTGGGGACTGTCACCAGGCAGGACCTGAGCTCCATAGTCCTCTGGGGTCTCGGTCCTTGCTTGCCCTGTGTGGTGAGTGAATGCTGCGTCCAGCTGCCGTCTGGCCTCAGGGGAGCCTCTGCCCCAGAAGCCTTCCCCCTCCCTCTCTCAGGCAGTGGCCTGAGGCCCCCGTGACAGGGCTGTGGGAAGAGCCAGGAGCCCTGGAGGCCAGACCCTGTAGGTTTCTGCTGGGGGCCTTGACGGGGAGGGGCTGGCTATCCTGGATCTGTGTGGCCAGTGGAGATCCCGTTTCCTCCTGTTCTTTTAGGGCTGCCAGATTTAGTGAATAAGTAAATAGATGCCCAGTTAAACTTGAGTTCAGTTCACACACACACACACACACACACACACACACAGAGACACATATATATGTATATTATATATCCACTTTGTGTGTGTGTGTGTGTGTGGTGCTGGGGATGTACCCGAGGGCCTCGTTCATGCTAAGCAAGTGCCCTACCGCTGAGCTGCACCCATAGTCCCAAATAACTGTTTTAACATCTGAGTGGGTCACACTTACAGGACAAGCATCTGCCGCTTAGCCGAAGCCCGGGTGGACAGCTGGGCAGCCTCCGATTCCTCTGACAGTCCCACTTGGACACGGAGACGGGGAAGGAGTCCCTCATGGGCTCCCACCTTCCTGATTGGCCCTGTCCTCATCTGGGACATGGCTATTTCCTTAAGTCCTTGTCCTGCTTCTGACTCAGGCCAGAAGCACTTGACAGGAAGCCGGCAGGGCTGAGCTCTGGTTCCGGTTCTGCTGGCCGACTTACTTCCAAGGCACTAGCCCTCTCTGGGCTTCATTCCTGAGCCCCGACAGACAGCTTCTCATCCTGGCTCTGGTAGTTCGTGGCTGTGTGACCTTGGGCAAGCTGCTGCGCTTCTCTGAGCCTGTTTCTGCACTTGGCAAATGGGGAAACAGGGACCTTCATGGATCTGGGGGAGGATAGATGAGACCAGGCACACACGGGGGCCCTTGTGTGGCGGGTGCCCTGGCAGGGAGGGGTCATGCTCTGAGGGCTCTGGGGGCTCCTCCTCCGCGTCTGTTCTTCCCATCACTCCTCGGAGGCGGGAGGGGAGGGGACAGCTCTGGGCGTGTGTGGTGGCACAGGGCATGCTGTCTGTGAACTCCCCAGGGAGCACCAAGCCCCTCAGCACCCTCCAGAGCTGGAACTGGGTGGGAGGCGGCCCTGGGTCCTGAAGTGAGCACACGGGAGTCTCTGCCCGGCAGCCTTTGGAACCTTCACCCGGCGCCACGGTGACGAGGCCATGGCTGCTGGGAGTCTCAGCCAGAGCACAGGAGTCCCTTCTGCAGCCCTGGGGAGGGACCCCCTGCCATGAGGTCTGCAGCCTGTGGGGAGGGAGCGGCCACAGGTCCAGGCTGGGCGGACGCCAGGCTGCACCTGCCGATGAGGGTTGAACTTGGGCTTCCCCGTCCCCTCGCTGGGTGCCCGGTTCCAGCTGGGGTCGAGCGAGGGGTTTCCAACTGGCCTTGGTGCTCGGAGCGGGGAAGCCCCCAAGAGGAGGCGTGCTGGTCACCTGAGCTCCCCGGGGTCTGGGCCCTCCAGGAGATGGGCGTGCAGGGTGACATCACCGGAAGTGATTAATTCCCCAGGGGCTGCACGGGCAGGCAATTTGGAGAAATGTTTGTGTTTGGGGTAATTGTGTGCCCTGGGGTAGCCCAGCCCAGAGCCCTTAGGATTCCCCTGGCTCAGCAGAGGCTGCAGATCCCGCCCCTCGCCCCAGCAGGCGAGGCCCTGACCCCAGCATCCCAGTGGGCTAGCTCACTACCCTGACCCCAACATCCCAGCCGGCTACTGCACTGACCCCGACATCTCAGTGGGCTAGCTCACCATCCTGACCCCACACCCCAGCAGGCTATCTCCACTGACCCCCACACCCCAGCAGGCTAGCTCACCACTTGACCCCTCCCTTCAGTGGGCTAGCTCACCACCCTGACCACCCCCCTCAACACAGTGGGCTAGCTCACCACCCTGACCCCCTCCTGCAAGGAGACCAGCTCACCACTCTGACCCCATACTCCAGGGGGCTAGCTCACCACCCTGACCACCCCCTTCATCACAGTGGGCTAGCTCACCACCCTGACCACCCCCCTCAACACAGTGGGCTAGCTCACCACCCTGATCCCTGGATCTGGCCAAATTGCTCTGGCTGTCCTGTTCTTGCCTCGGGACCTTAGGTGGCCCTCAGAGGCTCACACCGGTTAGGAATGGGTGGGCATCTTGGAGACTCCACTGGGGGGTCCATCATGGCTCTCCCTGTGTGTCCAGAAGCCAGAACAGGTCCTGGGGAGAATCACGTGCTTGGAGAGGGAGAGGCTGACGGGCAGGGGATTCTCCAGGACATTCTCCTGGACCTTCCTGCGTCTGCTTCACCCCCGCAAAAGCCCCAAAGCAAAATAGACCCTTCAGGTCAGCGAGGGGTGGGCTTCTCTAGAGGGAGGATGCCACGGGCCTTCCCAGACAAGCCACCCCACAAGTGCATTTCCTGGGGTTCCCTGGTGCAGGAGGTTGGTGGAGGCTGCGGTGTGCCTATGCCCCTGTTGTTTACACTGAGCAAATGAGTGACTGTCACTCCACAGAGGGACAGTGAGGCGTAATTGGAGTCCTCGTGAGGTAATGACAGGGTTGGTGCCCACCCTGGTCCCGGTGATTGACAGGCTGCGGGCGCTGGGCGGGGACGCCCTTCTCCTTGCTCCGGTAGCTGCGTGGCCGTGGCAGGAAGGACACCCTTGTTTGGAAGTGATGTTCAAAGGTGAGGGCTGGGGTTCCTGGAAGGTCTGAGGCTGCGTGAGGATATACCCAGGGCCCTGCAGGTCCTGGACCTCTCCTGTTCCTGAGCCAGTGGACCCTGGAAGGTTCCAGGTTCAGGGAACGCAGGCTGCTTCTCTGCTTGTGAGGTCACTTCCGCAGTCTCCCAAATGCTCTCCTCCCGCTGTGCTCCCCATGCTCCGGTCGGCTGCCGGCTCTGCCCAGTGGTCCTGGCCCTTGGTCGGGGGACGAGGGTGGAAGGAACTGGCAAGTCCGTGCCCAGCTGAGGAGGCTCGGAGGGGAGCCCCAGCCACGGGCCAGGCCAGGGGCACCACGCTGACTGGGCTTCTAATGGGTCAGGCCTCTGACAGCCTTTTCAGTGACCTCTGACAACAGGACGGCTGTTGGTCGTGACCGCCAGCTAGGGTCAGTCTGGTCTTCGCAGGCTGTGTGAACCCGAGCCAATCACTTGGCCTCTCTGGGCCTATTTCCCAGGCTGGGGGGTGACTTTGCCTCTGTCTGTGCTCTGAAGTTGGCAACTTGATTTTTCCCATTTGCAGATGAGGAATTTCGTCATGCACAGAGCACAGATGTACCTAGGGCAGGGGAAAGCGCCCCATGATTCAGGGCCCGCTCTCTCAGGATGCTGTGGCCCCCAGCCCCTCCCAGTGAGGGACAAACAGCTGCCCCTTCCTGTCTCCATGCCTGGGCAGGCCAGGCTCCGCTCAGGGAAGTCCTGTTGGCCTGGGTCCTCCTGGGATCCCTGGGCGGGCCCCGACCTGGGCAATGACAGGGCATGAGGCACCAGCAGTGATCGCTATCTCGGGGCAGCAGAGGACGAGCCACGCCTGTGTGCTAGGCTTTGAGAAGACACTGCGGCGCGGGGCTGGCCTTCCTGACCCCTGTGCCCCTGGCCA